AACATTAAAATTAGATCATTTTCAGGTATAAATTTCAAAGTTTATGCACAGTCATTTTATAAACTTCAGTGTATATATATAGTACCTTGTAAATTGTATTGTTGTGTTGTTTTATAATTCATAAGGTAAATGGAAAGAAATGAATACAAATCAGATTAAACTCAGCCACTCGTACTGGGCCATACTGTAAATACTACGTAAGGACCGAACCTATTCAAAGACAACAGCTAGGACATTAAATATAATTGTTGAAAATTTAACTCGTAGGAGCATCAATTGTTCATTGCAAGCATAGAGAAAACAAACATTTTGTGAGCATTCAGAGCAGAAGCCCAATTTTTGAGCACTGCAAAATTTCGAGGGATCATTCACAATCTCTGTCTATAGTCAAAGAAGTTGTAGGGGAAACTGCCAGGGAAGTTGATTGTAGACACAAAACTGACTGAATTACTTAACCCAAATTCTCTGAACCTATTAATTTGCATTTTGCAGGCAATACAGAGCAGGCCTTCTTGAACAACTTTGATGACATTGTGGAGTCTTCATTACCTGTCCAAAAGGTCATGGATCTGTTTCCAGACAAGGAGACTGCAGAGGATTCGATTCTTGGAAAAATATCCTACTGTGAAGAAAGAATAAAGGTTCATTTAATGCATTTGATTTTCATTAACTTGTACTATCATGTTTTCTCTGCAAGCTGCTTGATTAATATTACATATTATTGTCATAAAATTGTTTTCATGGATGTTATTTAAGGGTCACTCCTTGTGGCCAAAATGTTTTTCTTGGGCCCCTGCTTCTCTGTAGAAAATATTAAGTCTAGAAGGGCTGGATAATTTTTCAGGCCCACCTTTAATGTAACGTAACNGCATAAAGTTCACAGGCAGCTGTATGCTCAGTGCACAAATCATGATTCATCGTCATCTGAGTCATCAAGTAAGTGGATTTCAAGGGAGAAGCAGCAAAATTTAAAATCACGTATGCTAGCTTAATATCCATTTGTACTAATTATATTTATAGATAAAGACTATCAACACCTTGTAAACAACCATGCAACTTACAATTAAATGGCAAATTATAATAACCTTATTCAAGTCCTATAGCTGGGAGTTAAGAAGTTTGCCCAGACATAAAACTAAATAAATGTGTATATACACAACAATTATTGCCTTTCTTCCAGGTCATTTTCTTTACAGAAAAATCTCTATTTATTGGAGCTTTCAATTTTCTTTCGGTCTATATAGTTGAGCAGATGTTCCTCCATCATTACACCACAAAACTGCTGTATCTAAGACTTTGTTTCCAGCAAGCTCAGGACTGCTGTAGTTCACCAGGTAAACTCACAAAGGCCATAACTATAACAACATAAATAAATTTGTGAATATGCAACTTGTGGTCTATAAGAGGTCTCTTGTTTTACAGCTGTTTGAGTCAAAGGAGCCAAATGAATCAACTGAGTCAAAGCCATTTTACACAAAGTTGGTCATTATTAAAAATCTTTACTTTTAATTAATGGTTTATAAAGCTCTGCCAAAGTTAAACTTCACAATGAAAATCTTAAATGAAGACAAGTGAATCCCTGTTCCATTTCATTTAACTCTGACAGGAGTATTTTTTAGAAATCACTGACGATTAATTATACCTTAACTGTATATCTGAAAAAAAGAGGCAATAACTTAATAGTATTTATGATAAATTTTCACATCAGACAAATTTGCATCTACTTGTTAATTTTAACACTCATTCCAAATAGGAAGCAGCTTCTTCTTCCGGGGTTGCAGTTGGCCATCTACCAGACCCAAACCAGCATGGTCCACTGAGGATAAGGCTTGGATCAAAAGAGTGAACAAGCTAATGGACAACCTTTTTGGAAAAGATTTCTTCAGCTATCCCTATGATGAAAAGAAAGTTTGCTATGTCCATGAAAATGATGCACCCAACTATGAGTACAACCACACTGACTGGGAAGATGAATACAGCCAAAACCTTGATGAGACTCCACAGTTTCCTCAATCACCAGCTGGAAAAAAAGGTAGCAAAAGTCACCCACATCCAGAACAGAAGTCCAAATCCACAAAGAGATGCCTTTTTCCTGCTCAAAAATCAGATCCTTGTCCAAAGCCACAAGAAGTGATGACAAAAAATCAAGTAAAACCTGCTCAAAAAAGTACATGCACACCCAGCCCAATCATCTCAAAGCCATCAATGTCTTCTCCAGAATCACTCCAGCACTGCATGTCACAGACTGCAACAAGACAAGAGTTATCTCAAGTCAAGCTTCCTCCACTCACAAATCAAATCCATGAAAATAATGTTGTTCCCATTTATGGCAAGTTTCAAGATGAGAATCCATACTTGCTCAAGAGTCGTCCGGCAGACAACATAGTGAAAGTAGCTCAGAAGATCATAAGTGCATGCTCATCACAGGTGATAAAGGAAAACACAATACAGCTGGATGACAGTGATGGCCCAAGTGGGGTAAAAATTGGTAACTTAGGAATCTTCAGTGACAGTGGTATTCAAGCCCTCTCAAGATATTGCTGTATTGCAAAAATGCAGCAAGATTACAAAGAAGAAATGGCTTGGCTAAGTTTCAACCCTGACAAAAATACCCTAAGAGATACAGAAATCAAGTACCTTTGCAACATTTTTGAACAGAGTCCCCATGACCAATTACGTGTTATTATTTCACTAGATGGCCATCATGTTGATTTTAAATCACTTTCAACACTGGTGGGTGAACGCTACATTGATAACTTTATCATCAATTACTGTCTAAAAAAGACACTGCAATCAAAACAAATACAGGATGATTCTATACTGTGTTTACCCACTGAAGCCTTGTCGTGGTTGGATAACCAAGTTCTGGAGCCAGTCAAAACTGTAATAAGAAAGGACCTCCATCAACCGCATGAACTTAAACTAATACTTTTGCCAGTGCACATGGCAAACATTCCCCATTGGGGACTTGCCTGTGTAGACCTAGAAACA